GTTAGGCCAGACACTTACCAGCACATGGGGTCGGTTGTGCTGATGCTACACTATGTGCAAATTATTGTGCACAGATCAGGGAGTAACTTACGGACCACAGCAGTAGGATTTCTGGGAGCTGTCTTCAGTCCAGGGACTCTCGAGGTTGCCTAGCTGGCGTTCGCAGGCCGAAGTCCCTTTCCATGTTTTTTGTTTGTTCATCTTGTATCAGACAAACATGATGTATTTCCTTTCAGACATTGTTTGTAGTATTCTGTAGTAGTCCGTGAGCTAGTGACACCAGACCTTGGGTAGTGATGTGTATTAAACTTCCGCACTTTTGGTTTTCAGTTGCTTTAGATTTAAAGTCTTTCGCTTAAATTTTGTCTCGTTTATTATATTGTTTGAAGGAAAGCAGGAAAGGTATTTTAAATATTTGGCTTGCCTAGCTCCGATAGTAGGCGTCATCACGACACCCGATGGTGGGAAATCCGGATCGTGACATTAAATAAATAAGCAACTAGCAAATAATAAAACGACATAAACAAGATAAAATCAAATAAAGCAAACAAAACACATAAATACCTCAACCGAATATCCTACAAAGCCAACAAGATCAAGTACTAGCTCGAACGTGCAACTCCCCAGCGGAGTCGCCAGAGCTGTCACACCCCTTTTTTAACCTCACTAACCCCTTTAAAATTAATAAAAAAAATTGTAAAGCTCAAAGGGTTTTCCAATTAGAAAGTGACAAAAAATTGTGTTCAAAAGGACTTTTCAGAGTCGCCACCTGATATTTGATTTCGGTGTGTCAGGTTACCGTTTTTAGAAATAATATTTCCTTTTAAAACACCTTAGACTCCAAACTAAGTCTGCACCAGAGATTCAGGATAAGAGGGTTCATTTGACTCAGGGAGAAGGTGTTAGGCATTCCCTGAGTCCCGAGAAATTCACGGTTGCGTACTCGATCTAGTTGGGTTTTAGAATATTCAAATTGAGGTAAAAATAAACACGTAAAAGCAAAATAAACACACACGAGGCTCGAGGTCGTCCCCGCCTAATAAAAATAAAAATAAAATAAAATAAAATATTACAAAAATAGTTCCATATTTCTCTACTTAATTCACATATTAGATATTTTTAGAAAGATATGTTACTTTGAACTTATTTTATTTTATGATAATCTTTAAAAATACTAAAAATAGTTTCAACTTTAATTTTTAGTTTTATTTTAAATATAATAGTTTATTATAATAACTTCAACTTTAATTTTTCGTTTTACTTGTATCTTCTTATAAGTATTTTTAGAAGTAGATTAAATTTTTAGCCTTTTCTTAGTCCAATTTTGTAGAATTTTTTTTAGCCCAAATTGAATTCTTGCAAGAGGTCCAAATTAGACAACCCACCAAAACCCATATAAACCCTAAGTCTTCATCTTCTCCAAGAAACCTAGAGACTAAAAAAAACCAAAAAATAGGAACACCGGCTGACGACCAAACTCGACTGCCCAGCAACATCCTCTTCACCAATGCCTCCAGCCGCCGGCTACCACCTCAAAAACTGCCGGAAATCAGCAACCTAAAACCCATGTAACCTAAGCAGCGAGACCACCACCCTAAGTAGACCAGCTACAAGAACAGCCTCCCCCATCGTTGCTTCTTCTTCTCACCTTCAAATTCACCGGAATCCGCCATCCTTCAGCACACCCCAATCTAATTCCTCATCTCTTCTTAAAAAAATCAAAAAAAGAACCCAAAATAGAGAGACGAGAAAGAAAAGAAAGAAAAACAGGGGGTCAAAACAAACGTTATTCTTTACTTTCAAACTCAGATTTTAGTTTTCTTGAAATTCAAAAGCTAGGAATTTTGTTTCTTCGTTTTTTTTCTTTTGATTTCGGGTTTGGTTTAGAAAATTATGGTATTTTCTTGAGGTTTGGAAGTTTGCTATTTTGGGTGCCGTTTTGAGTAAGGCTGTCAGTTGATGTTGGAGTTCGCGGTTCTCAGACCAATTTTGTCGTTGCTTAATCAGTCGAATTTTACGCTCAAGTTTTGTATTAGTTGATCTTCAAATCTGCACATTGAGGTCCACCCTTCATCCCTGTTTCTTCTATATGAATTGACCTTCACTTCACTAAATATTTTGTGGTTGGATGTTTGAATAATTCTATTTGTTTTCATTAATTATGTGCTTCTATCAGTAGTATATGGACTTCTCACCCACTCATAAATTGTTAGGACATGGTTTTTGGGAATTAACTTTTAAGGAAAATGAGCAGGAATTTGAATTCTTCTGTTACTTACTTTCTTTTATTTTGTTTCTCTCTTCACATCATCCGCTAGTAGTACTACAAGAAAAAGCCTTATTAGGGACCAACATTTAGCGACAAGTTTTAAGTATGGTCCTTAAAAGTGTACTTATAGGGATGAGAATTGTTTTGGTCTTTAAAATGCAATTTTATCTTTTAAATACATGACCAGACTTATAGCCCGTTTGGCCAAGCTGCAAAAATCAGCTTATTTTGAGAAGTGCATTTTTCAAAAGTGCTTTTCTCAAAAGTACTTTTGGTGAAGTTTGTGTTTGGCTAATTAGTTTGAAAATCACTTCTGAGCAGCAATTAGTGTTTGGACAAGCTTTAAAAAACTGCTTCTAAGTGTATTTTTATCAAAAGTGCTTCTCAAAAAAGTGCTTTTGGAGAGAAGCTACTTTTTTCTGCTTCTCCAAAACTGCTTCTGCTTCTCCTCAAAAGCACTTTTTTTGCTTCCAAAAGCTTGGCCAAACACCTCAATTTTTGGCCAAAAGTGCTTTTGATAAAAAAAAAAAGCACTATTAGCCAAAAAGAAGCTTGGCCAAACAGGCTATTATTATGGTCTATACAAAAATTAATATCTGGTCTCTAATATCGATTTCAGAGGGATAGGGGCGCGAAATTGACGAAAACTAAAGTTAAAAGAAAAAAAAAGTAAAGCTCCAAAAATTTCATGTTAATCCCTCCAAATTATCTTTCACCCTAAAATCCCTTCAATACGCTAAAATCCCTAAGAATTGGCCGCAAAACTTCATCAAAATGCACAAGGTTGCAAAGAACTCAGAAGGTAGGTTAGTGTCTAAAATTCATCACTCTCCAAGAGACTTTACACAAATTATACCATTGGATTATCCACCAAAAAAAAGTAAGTTTAATTTCTTTCTCTTTAATCTATTCTATTTCTTTTTTCTTCTTCATGTTTTTTTTTCCGATTAAATCAGAAATCGAAAAAAGTGTTCTGCAATTTTTTGTTTCTTTAGCTATTTTCTGCAATTGGTTATTTTGAATACTGATTTTTCTTGTGTGAGTGATAAAGTGAGATTATTAGGTTTAACATTGGGTGATCTTTATTGTGTGAGGACAAATTTGTACAAAAGAAGGGTTGTATGGTTGCTCGTAAAATCATCGGACATCAGAGAATGTCAAATACCCCAGAACTGAAATTTCATCAAAAATGGGTATTGGTTGCTCGTATTAGGACTGCAATATGATTTATAATTCGATTCATCATATCCCAACATTCAGTCATGGAATATATTCTACTTTTTTTGTCTTTCAAGAAAATGGGGCTCAAATGTGAGTAATGATAAGGCAAAGAGAAACCAGCCATGCAAAGGCTGCAAACACCGGGTATACCGGCTTGCCATGCCAAGATACAGGTCGGTTAATCGCCCAATGCCCGAATTGGTAAGCCCAGATATAGAAACACCATCCTCACTACCTCTTCATGTACTTTTCCTCAACACAGAAAAAACAAAATACACACTTACACACAAGAAAGATAGAGATGTAAGTATATAGATTTTTTCTTGTAGAGTTTTGTCTATGCGATAGTTTTATCCTTTGAGATTTACATTATAGAATTCTTCTGGGGACTTTCTCGAAGGGTCATGAAAATATTGTAGGATATCTTGTGGTTTTTCATATGAGGTGATGAATTGGTTGAATTTTTTCATATGCTTTATCAAATCTATTCTTTTGTAAGAATTTAATTGATGATAACTGGAACTTGGTAAGTTCTTATTTGCAATATTAGCTGCTATATCTAGTGTAGATCCCACTTTATTGAGTATAAGTACCCCCTATTCAATGACTCTTTCCCGGCTTATGTAGCACTTATGAATAACTTCATATCTGAAAGCTAATTTCTATTAAGCTTCAGTTGAATTAATATCATTAAAGTTGGGTATTAGGAACCTTTAACTTCTTTAAGTGTCTATCTTGTGCAAACTAAAGTTTGTTAAACACAAGATAATTTAGCCTATCAAATCCATATAGATTACTACGACACTCGATAGCGCATGACCATTAGGATATTTTTTTAATTTGCATCATATTCTAATCAACAAGTTCTTAGTTAATGATATGATACATACTGGAGAGTAATTCATGTGCTTTAGCTCTCACACATTGATACGTACGTTTTTGAGTCATAAAACTTGTATATTTGTTATAGGCTTATATCTACCACCTAAATTAATTAGTACATCAAAAACTTTACTCGGGAGATGTTATCTTCTACTCATTTAATGTGCAATCATATATTTCCTTTTCTAGCTTATATTTGTGAATGGATATTTATAGACTTACTTGGGAGACTTACTGCTTCCAACTTGTGTCTGTGTGTTATGAGTGAGTCTGGATATGTGTAATAGCTCTAATTGGCAAAAAAGATGACTGGCAGAAGAGAAGGAGCATTGAGGTTGATGGTATGTTGCACTTATGTTGTTTCTTTTGCAAGAGCTTTTCAGATGTCTATAGCATTGAAGTCACCTGTGTAATTTCAGCCTACCATATGTTTGGTACAAATGTTGCATTAAATCAAGATGAAAATGAATATGGGGTACCCCAAGAATATTGACAGGTATTCAGATGTCTATAGCATTGCATGTTCTGCTGGCGTAGCTACTGCTGGTACAACAGTTGATGATGTAGCTACTGCTGGTGCCTGTTCTATGTTTTAAATTCATAAAATTGAAATAAAGGTAAGGCATATACTAGACTTTGGTCAAATTAATTCAAGACTCATTGTAGAACTATGTCGATCCTAAAACAATTGAGAAACATGTGAGTTTGGTTAATTGAACATGTTTTTTACTTTTAGTTATTATGGGATCTGATAAAAATTCCTCTATATGCTTTGTAGGCTCAAATCCAGGAATTGGTGCAGTCTGAACCATCACTTCCTACAATAGAGTTGCAGAAAAATGCTTTGGACCTCAAAGTGATAGTCATGTATTTGGTTTTGGGGGTGGATTAAAGGCAAAAGATTTGACAGGTGGAACTGCCTCAAAAACCGAATTATTGGCTAAGTTATGTTCAACTGAAAATAAAAACCAGTTTTTGAAGGATCGTTTGTCTAACTTTGAAAATGAAATGAGAGAACTTAAGAAAATAAAAGAATTAGTATTAGTGCAACAAACTAATTTCCAACCTTCAGTATGGGAGAATGATTATTCGGCTCCTTGATGATACCAAGTGAGTAACAACTTACCTGAAACTTTAATTTATTTTGTTGATTTAAGTGTATTATGTGTATGTTATTATATATCATTTGCAGAATTTCTTATTCTATTAATTCTGAATTTGGTGGTCGATAACCCATACTGGTTGTTCAAAGTGACAATTGGAATGAAAAAACTTCTCTTAAGCTTTGTGATATGCTGAAAGAGCTTAGACCAGCTGACTCAGTGACCGCTTTGACAGTTCTCCCAAAACTCCATGGAGAGAGATGAGCTTAAATCAGCTCATTTGGTGCATTACGTGTTAACAAAGCCTCTTCGGCCGAGTGTGTTAATTTCATGCTTTCAAGAAACCCTTGGCTTCGGAAACAAGAGGCATGTAAAAAGGGGAAAACTTCCAACTCGTGGAAGTTTGCTAAAGGGAAGACATATCCTGGGGATAGATGATAATGTTGTAAACAGAAGAGTGGCAGAAGGTGCTCTCAAAAAGTATGGAGCTATATCAACCTGTGTGGATAGTAGGAAGGCTGCTTTGGCACTTTTCACGCCACCACATAAGTATGATGCTTGCTTTATGGATCTCCAAATGCCATAAATGGAAGGGTAAGTACTTAATTTGTTTCTTGATCATTCTTGTTATCATATGTAGCTGTTCTGTGTGCATATAAACCAATAAAATTAAAGGGATCAGGGTGCCTTTTTATGGGCTAAAGAAAAAGCTAATGTTATATTCTCGAGAACACCTGCATTCTTATGAGTTGGGATATGAATTGCTTCAATGCCTTTGTTGTGTCCTATAATTGAGATAGAGAACTCAATGATTACCTCTGCTTGCCTTGGTGAACAAGTTCTGTTTCTTTATTGTTGAATTTTGTACTTGTCCTTTAGAACATTATCCCTCAGCTTATTGGTTTTGCCAATATTAGCAATAACAACAGATGTTATTCAAGCAACAGATGCAAAGTGCATGAAGTGTGGAATGGATTATTATGTGGCAAAACCATTTGAAGAAGGGCAACTTTATTCAGCAATCGCCCACTTCTTTGTGTGTGATTGATTAGGAGGTGTTTCAAGTAACTATATAATGGAGGTACCGGTTGAGGTTCCGCCTGATGGTTTATTTTAATTTGGTTGTGAAAAAGCTCATCAGTTGCCTGAATGTCCGATTAATGCATTTCTACGTCGGAAGTGGATGGAGGACCTTGGCTGCTCAGATGTCTGATAGTTGGTTCGTAATGTTGCTGCTGGATAATGTAGCAGATTCAGAACAAATACATCTATCATGACTTATGTGGTATCATGACCTATATACACATTGAGAACTTTCTTGTTTAATATTGGATGAACTCAAAGTGGGAAATAAAGTTTGCTACTGCAATAATATATAATAACATTTAGTTATTTCCATGCAATATGATTCCTAAATTGCCAATAAACAATCAAGAGAATAGCCAGAAGATACACAAGTTTTGCTTTTCCAGACTTTAGCTTACCATCAAAATATAAACATCAAGAACAAAAGTAAATGCCTACGAATATCCAAGTATATGAATATATACTCTAGGTTATTTTGACATCTTTTAGTCATTCTCTAAGCTAAAGCTATGTTGGGTGTATTTCTAGAGAGGTCTCTATCACCCAAATTATGCACTTTCATATCTATTAAACTTACTGTACTTTTTGTCAATTCCCATACCTACTAGATCTACTGTTCTTCTCCTCTACCGTAATTTAGATATTAAAATAATACCACATGCTTCTGAATAATGAGTGCACATGATATCTTACGCGAATATCACATAATATGCATGTTTTTCGCCTCGATGATGGCGTAGTTCACGGAGAAAATCAGTGAGATCTATTAGGCTTAAGATGACAATACGTATCATGAACTTGGCTGTGACAAAATTATGACAAACCAATCTAAGTTAATAAGATGAAAGGGAACAATGGTGTCTAGCCATTAACTTTTTGTTGCTTCTTTTTTCTTTGTTATTTTTATAATCTTCTTTATACCCTTGATTTTGTTCCATATACACTGTTATATATAGTTTTTCTAACTGAAATTTCTTATTTCTTCTACAGGTTTTCAATATTGGAGTTTACTAGAAGCAAATTTTTGACGACGTACAGATTAACCATCATTTTGCTGGGAATTTCAAGAAAATTTTACATTACAATCGCGGGATATTAGTGATATGTAATTTTTTGCTAAATGTTTATGAACACAGTATCTTGACTAGCTTACATTATTGATGTACGGTGCAACTAACTGATGTTGATCATTTTTGGTATTATTTTATGAAAGCAACATCATCCATATATTAATATTCTCGATTTTCTAGTTGCAAATTAAATGTGATTTAAGGACTTGTGAATTGTTTCTTTAGGGACTAGACTGTTAGTCCTTAAATCCTTTTCAGGAGTGAAAAATTTAGTTGCTAAATCTGTAGCTTTGTAGTGTTGACCTATTTGACTAAGGGACCAGCTTTAAACAAAAGATATAACGGCCAACTTCTAACTGGCCACGAAACTTTTTAATGACCACATTTAAACTAGTCCCGAAAATATTTTAAGGACCAGGAATTTAGTCACTAAAATATGCAAATAGGCAAGAAACATGGTCCTTAAAAACCATTTAAGGGCTAGTTTTAAACTGGTCGCGAAACAGTTTTAGCGACCAGCACCGTATCTCATAATTAATAACCTTTAGCGGCGGAAGCTATAAGAACTAGAATTGCTAGTCGCTATTGACCATTTAGGACCAATTTCTTACTTTTAGGGACCAGTTTTCTCTTCGCTATTGAGCATTTTTCTTGTAGTGTAGCATGTTTAGGTCCGCTAGCATTTGGGTAGGCAAACCTTAGGATTTTGTTAGTTTTGAGGCGAGAGGTCGTTCCCTTAGTTAAATTTATCCGGGGAATGCCCCGAAGGATTTGTATATATTTTTATCCAGGGTATGCCCCGAAATATTTGTATTTGGAGGATGAAAGTATAACTCAAGGTAGATCTGTCGGCGTTCACAAACCTTGAAGTCCCCGTCTATCTTTTTTGTTTTACTGTTTCTTTTGTTCAAATAGTTGTACTTCTTTTAGACTTCTACTTGTAGTAAATCCTAGAATGTTCGTGAATTTGTGATACCAGATCCGGGTAGTAGTAAATGATGAAGTTTTTATATTATTTCGCTTGTTGTATTTCACTTTAGCTTATTTACTGTTATTTATTGAATTGAATAAGGTTTGGCTTAATAATTTTCTAACATTGGCTTGCCTAGCAAGTGGAATGTTAGGCGCCATCACGGTCCCGACGGTGGGAATTTAGGGTCGTGACAAGTTGGTATTAGAGTACTAGGTTGCCTAGGTCTCGCAATTAATGAGCAGGCTTAGTAGAGTCTTAGGAATCGGTATAGAGACGTTTGTACTTATCTTCTAGAGGCTACGGAGTTTAGGAACAAAGTTCACTTCTAAACTTCCCTGTCGTGCAATTTTTGTTCTTTCATTGCTAATTGAACTCTTCTACACTTGTTCTCTCGCAAATGGCGAGAACACGTACTGCATCCTCAGTTGAGCAGTGATAATTAGGGATTTTGACCGCTTATTTGCTCTCTTTTACTTGCGTTTTAGCTCAAAAATACTTTAAAGGAATTCTCGAAAACTAACAAAATGTGCTTGCTTGCAGGAATATTGAAAAACGAGCCAAAGAAGTCTAAATCAACTCATAAATGAGTCAAAATTGAACAAGATCCAAAATAGGACAAAAAGGATAGCAGTGCAGACCGCACAATTCTAGTGCGGCCGCAGATGGGAGATTCAGAGAGTAGTGTTTGGGCTAGCTAAAGGCATGCGGATCGCACTGAAATTATATGGCCGTAGGAGGTTAAGTGTGACCGCATTCATTATTATGCGGTCCGCAGGATTGAAGATTTAAAGAGTTGTTTCAAGTCGGCCGCATCATTTTTGTGCGGCCGCATAATCAGAAGTGCGGCCGCACCCACTTTTATGCGGACTGAAGCCCCAAAGTTCAAAGCCCAAGATCCAAAGAATGAGGACCGCACGATAATTGTGCGGCCGTAGAACCTCATTGTGCGGACCGCTCCAGAATTATGTGGTTGCACAACCTTCGCAGAGGCATTTTTGTTAGATATTTTCAGCTTAGTATAAATAGAATTTTTTGTTATTTTTAGGTTAAGTTTAGTTTTCAAAAATGCACCTCAGCCATTTTCTTTACTGTTTTGAGCAATTTTGTACTAGATTAACTTCGAAACATTAGATTTTCTTTTTCAATCATTTATTATGCATTCTATCTTAATTTCTTCTTGTATTTCTTTATTTTTCATGAGTAGCTAAATTTTTAGCTAGTGTTGTGGCCCAACCCTAGTGTGAGTACTTAATGAATGTTTAATTTAAGGCTTGTTTGTGATTGGGTTAGTGATATTTTGCCTTGTTTATGCTTGAATTCTAGAATTAATGGTTGCAAACATTGATTCATGCCTATTTGACTTAGTCTCTACTTGAAAAAAAGAGACTAAGTCTAGAAAAACTTGGCTAACATGGAATTGGGGTGAACTCAAGAAATTGATAGCCCCAATTAAAGGGTCAAATCTAGAGATAGTAAGACCCGACTTGAGCATATATCACTTGATTTATGCAATACCCATTTGGACTTGAGAAAACTAAATTTGGCAAAATCACTCAAACTACCGAGAGTTATAGAGTGGGTAATTATGTTTGATTGCTATAGTATGACTCCAACTAATCAAACTTGCCGTAGAGTTTACAACCCGTTAGGTAACCACCTAGATGGAAGCCATGACCCTAGATCCTTTATCATTTGAAAAACAACCAAAACCAAAAACATTGTCTTCTAATTTATTAATAGCAATCAATAGATTAAAATAGAAATAGAAACAACCAACAAGAATGTGGAGCTGCAAATTGAGGCACATTATACAATTACACTAGGTGTATACCTAATATCATTTCTAAATCCTTGAGGAATCAACCCCGACTCGCTTTGGGTTTTATTATTGCTTCGACCGCCTCACTACCTATAATTGTGGTATGAGTTTAGGTGATATCAAGCAGCAGCTAGAGCCCCTAGTGGAAGCTCCTACAAGTGGTAGAGGTCGAGGCTGAGGCCGTGCCAGAGGCCGAGGCAGGGGCAGGACTCATCCTAGAGCCCGAGCAATAGCACCAGTGGTGGAGCCTCAGGTGGAGTTTGATAAGGAGGCTCCGGTCCAGACAGTTCCAACAGGACCAGCTCAGGTCCCAAAGGGGTTCATCGCCACCCTAGTGCTTCAGGACGCCTTGGTCCATTTTGGTGGGCCTTATGGATAGCGTGGCGCAGACTGGCACATTTACTTTGGCATAGCCGTCTATCGGGCTGGAGGAGGAGCACAGACTCCTGCTACTCACATCTCGAAGCAGATGGCTCCCCAGTATCAGACTCCAGTAGCTCATCTAGTTGGAGTGGTTTAGCCAGTTGTTGCATCACAAGCCGGTGGTAGATAAGCTATGTGTTCTGAGAGCTTATTGAGGTTGGACAAGTTCACCAAGATCTTTCTAGTTCACTACAGTGGTCTACTTTCTAAGGACCCACATGATTATCTAGACCACTGCCATGAGGTACTGCAGAACATAGGGATAGTGGAGATCAATGGGGTCGATTTTGCTGTGTTTCATATTACGGGTTCCGCCAAGAGGTGGTGGAATGATTTTGTATTAACTAGACCAGCTGGGTCGCCTGCTTTTACTTGGGACCAATTCTCTCAGATATTCCTTGAGAAGTTCCTTCATGTCACCCTGAGAGAGGATTATCGCAGATAGTTCGAGCATCTCCAGCAGGGCAGTATGGTCGTTACTCAGTATGAGATCCGTTTTGTTGATTTAGGCCCGTCATGCTGTTGATACCCAATTTTTTCCTCATATATTTTAAATATGCATAAACACTTTCAAAATACTGTACATGCATTTACAAACATGCACAAGTGTTTTACAATTTTTCTATAATTTTTCAAGGCCCTAAATCCATTTGTTTCTACATTTTCTAATTACATAAATGTTCAAAACTATCCCTCTTATTATTTTATGATAATATAATCATCTAAATTCATCAATTATGTTCATATGAGTGTTCAAATATTTTAATTGTATTTTTTTATAATTACATTTTGTATTTTTAAGACAATAATTGCATATTTTGCAAATATAGCCCCTACATATGCATAACTATGTTATCTATACAAAAATACCTTTTTATATTTTTATAATTGTCACGACCCGGATTTCCCGACACCGGGTGTCGTGATGGCGCCTACTATCGGAGCTAGGTAAGCCAAATGTTTAAAACACCTTTCCTGCTTTCTTTTAACAATATGATAAGCGAGACAAAATCTAAGCGGAAGACTTTAAAT